CGCTTTCCGACGCGTATTCACATCGGCTCTCTCGGACGCGTCGCGTCCGTAACGTCCGGAAGGTGAGAAGAGGAGTGTAAAATATCCCGCGAGAGCGGTGCGCGTCCCGGACGTACACACGCGTACCCCGGTCGGTCCCCACGATATATACCGTCGTTTATAATAGTCTCTCCTCCTCATCGTTCGCGAGGTGAAAACGGTGGTATCAGGTCGAATTTGACCGATCGACGAAATATCTATGCGTATTCAAGACAGCCGCAACGGTCCTACACGCGCGTAAGCTTCCTTGGCGCACACGGTGGTGGTAAATTGGTGTCGGTGATGGTGATTACTAGTGGTCGGTGGTGGTCCATTCCGCGACGTGGTGTTACCGGCCACGGCCGGTGGCATCCATCGAGGTAGAAAAACAAAAGAAAGCCAAGGCGGGAAGGAAGACAGCTCTTTTTCTCGCGTCAAACCGGCGCGCGGACGGTTCGATTGAGTTAACCAAGGGCGCGCGCCACGCGATCGAGCAAGAAAGAGGGAAACGTCACACTTACTTAATCACTACTAATCCTACTAGCTGGAAGGAGTAGAGTGACGGATCGATCCCTTTGATAGATCGGGAGAACATTAACGCATTATTCACACATCTTTAACACGCGCGCTATTTACATTGGGAGAAAGAGAGGAGAAAGAGAGAGAGAGAGAGAGAGAGAGAGAGAGAAAGAGAGAAAATACTTAATTGCTGTCGGAATAATAATACTTGGAGTGATCGAGGATTGCGGCAGTAATTTTAATCATAATAATTACGTTGAACGATACAACCGCAGGCGAGGACACGCAGTGCGGCACCGAGGATTCTGCCGTCGCCCAGGGAGGCGACCAGCTCCAGAGGATGACTATGGACGGCGTAGAGGTGGTGGGCTCGCAGCCGCACGCGGCCACCAGCCCGTTTCTGCTCTCCTCGCCACCACTGGGTCATCATCATCATCATCATCACGCGACGTTCAACCTGCCGGTGCAGCTTAGCTTCGACGCGTGTTTACCGTACAACGCGGCCTCCTCGTCCAGCTCGGTCACTTGCGGCGTCGGCGGGACATCCGTGAACGCGACCTGCACGAATTCGTCCTCTACCAGCTGCGGCAAGACAAACACGCCGCAGCTCTCCCTATCCTCAAACGTGCCGTTACATATGCAACTTCAAATCAGCTCAACAACCCCCACGGAACACAATCACGAACGGCATCATCAGCATCATCATCGATTGGACGATCATCATCAGCATCAGCTGCACCCCAATGCCTCGTCGCCAATTGCCACCGATATCGCGGACGGCAAGCGGCACCGGCAACCCGACGACGATGACAAGAGTTGCATCAGGAATTGCAGGAGCGATATTCACGATACGAACGATAAGGATAAGCCCGGCGACTTGAACACGCCGGTTACCACCAGCAGCGACCTACCGTCTTTCTTCGGGCCCTCCGCGCTTGTCGAACCGCCACCAATCTCAGGTACCTACAATCAGCTAATCCTTAAGACGAGAATCGAAAGATCGAGAGAGACAATCCTCTCGTTTCTCTTAATGCAGCTTCACCCGAATATCTACTTCTTCACCGTTAGGACTTTATTTACTCCGGATGCATTCCGTTGGTGGCGTAACGCAACAAAGGGGGACAATATAATATACTGTATGCGATCGTAGTTGTATAGTTGAGGCCCGCGGGACCGATTGGATACAATCTGTATCCTTCGTGATTCGGCGAACATTAACAGGATTACATGGGCGAAAACACGGCGCTCATTGAATACGTACTGTTTCGCTTTCGTCGACCTTTCGCTTTCTATACGTTCGCGAGCTCCTCGCGTTCCTCGATGCCTGGTCGTTAACATCTGCATCATTCGCGGGAAAATTTAGATATCGTCCAAAGTACTCGAGTACCGCACTCTCGGCGGTGCGCAAGCATCAGCCGGTATAGCGTCTGCAGCGGCGAAGAGCCACGAGGCGTGTTACTGACGTTTATTACACTCGCCCGCGAAAACACGTAATATCGAAGGTCCGTCCGCCTGTCGCGGATCAATACCCAACGACCCCGACATTCAGAGACCCTCCTCTGCATCACCACCTCCTCTTCCTCGTCCGCCTCCTCCCACTATCCCTTCGGTTCGGTTCATTCATGCTTCCAGCCGTCCCCACCTCCGCCACCCTCAGTACCGTAATAACCCTCCCGATTATCGTACAGCTTTACAAAAGCGTTTGCTATATACCTTTTTATCTCCCGACATGCAAGCACGTATATATTTAATAAAAGCGCAAACACACAATTACGATTCCTTCGTATTTTATTTCTCATCGCGATATATCCGACAGGTTATATCGGGGAAACAATATCGAAAATTCAGTAAAATCTTTTTATATAAACAAAAATTGCACAGTATTGCATTTCATTTGTTAGTGATTTTGATGAGTACTTCCTCAACGTCAGTCAAGCAATTATATGCGTATGAAAGGAAGTAACAACGAGCGGCAGGATGCAGACAAAAGATAGAGCCTTTGAGAGATAAAGTCACCCCCGTATCGCGTGTTTCTTCCTGTCGGCTGCCGGTACAAATACACACCCATTCGTTGCGTATATAGGACATGAAACATACATATGATGACATGCACGTGGTATGTTTGAAATCGAGACTAAACGATGATTTTATCGGTGTGTTTCACACAGGCAGCCTGGCGAGCGAGGATCTCTCTCTAGAAGAGGCGACCGCGGAGGAAGACGAGAACGGCCCGTCCGCCGGTAGGGATCATCGGCATCATCACCATCAGGACGCGCGAAATGCCGTCACGTCGAACGCGCCTTCCTCGAGCAGTCCGCCGTCGCGCCACCACCAAACCCAGGACGAGGCGGATCGCTGTAACGCGCTGCAGAGTGGGGTAATTTTATACTCACCGCATTCCACGTCTACCGCGCCCGCGACGAGCGTGAATATCTGCAATGTACCGACGTTGACCTATCGCGGCGTCTTCACCACGACCTGTACACAGTCCTCGCCCCTGAGCAATCTCCAAGGCGACCAGCAGCAGCAGCAACCGCAACAGCCGACGGGTCAGGAGCTGTGGGCGCCGTTACCGTCACCAACCTTAACCTTGGCGGGCCAGCCGTTCCTTCACCCCAACCTACACTCGACCGCGTACAGCGGCGAGACCGTCGAATTGCTGCAGGTCGATTCGAAGCCACCCCCACCGCCTGGTTATCACGACACGGCGACCACCACCTCCACGACCTGGCTGACGGGTCACGAGGATGCTTACGATCCTGGTCTTCTCTCCCACCATCATTCTCACACCCATCATCAGGAGACAACGTTGAAGCAGGAGCCAACCGGCACCGGTTACACTCCAAATGTACAACAGCCGCAACAAGCTCAAGCGCAAGCTCAACAACAACAACAACAACAACAACAGCAACAACAAGCTCCACCATCTGGCACCTGCGGTAACGCGGGGGTCCAGCTGGCTGAATACAATCCGAGCACGTCGAAGGGCCACGAGATTCTTTCTCAGGTCTATCAGCAAAGCGCGATACCGCTCCGACTGGTTCCCGTGAAACCGCGGAAGTATCCGAATCGACCGAGCAAAACGCCGGTCCACGAGCGGCCCTACGCCTGTCCGGTGGACGGCTGCGACCGTAGGTTCTCTCGCAGCGACGAGCTTACCCGACACATACGTATCCACACCGGGCAGAAACCGTTTCAGTGTCGCATCTGCATGCGCTCGTTTTCGAGGAGCGATCACCTAACCACCCATGTGCGCACGCACACGGGTGAAAAACCGTTTTGCTGTGATCAGTGCGGCCGAAAGTTCGCCAGGAGCGACGAGAAGAAGCGTCACGCGAAGGTACATCTGAAGCAGAGGCTGAAGCGCGAGGCGTCTCACGCTAATCCAAGAACCCATCACCAGAGCCACGCGTCGTCACCCTGCAATCAATGAATTCCATGACAACGATGTTGACAAAAATCCCCTTTTAACGTCTGAGATCTCATTACGTTTGTCACGTTCTGAAAAGTTGTGATCTATGTCTCCCCGATTCTTACTTTCCTCTTCTCTCTCTCTCTCTCTCTCTCTCTCTCTCTCTCTCTCTCTCTCTGTCTTTGTCTCTGTCTCTCTTCTCTTTCTCGATCATCGATCATCTTTTCTTTCCTGCATCTCTCACGATGACCGATGAAGAAATTACGGAAATCTTTAGGCGGTCAAAACTGATCCGTCGCCGACTGATCCGTTATTTATCGTCGGTCCTCCATTATTTATCGTCGATCCCCTTTTTTTAATTTATCTCAAAACATAGCTGGATACAAATTAACTGAGTTTTACGAGCACAAGAATTCTTTGAAATTTCCGCTATCATATCTATAAATCGTAAGGATAATAATAAACAATTTGCTCATTCCGAAAATTATCATGCGAATTAAAAAAGAAAGAATTAGATGTCGTATATGCAATTTGTATCGCATTCGTGACAGAACGATTAACTTCAAGTATTTTAAGACTAAACTCATAAGAATACGATTTTCTCATTGTACAAAAATAATGTCTCTTGCGTCACAGCGAAAAATCGAAGTACTTAAAATATACTACAATCTGTGCGATCATTGAAAACGAACTCACAGTTGAATGGGAGCTATTACAATGAAATGGAAGTTAATCGTCCGATTATACATAAAAAAAAATCCTGTTCTTAAAATAGAAAAATGACAGACATTATTATTCTGCTTTACATGTCTTCGTGTCTTAGCTTGTATCCAGATACGTACAAAATGTGAACTTTCTCTCTCTCTCTCTCTCTCTCTCTCTCGCTCTCCCCGTCCCTCACTCCTCGCAAGATATTTGGTGGCATCTATCTAGATGCCATTGAGCGTGGCGAGAGCATTTTCGTGCAATTGTATAACATGAAATCGATACCATCCGCAGCTTCCGGGAACTGTAGAGTGAAGCGGAAGATAGATAGAAAGAGAGAGAGAGACAGGAGAGAGATTGAAAAGGAGGGAGCGACGAGAGGAGGGATAAGGGTGGGATGAGGAGGAGCAATGCGTCTCATTGCATGCAAACGACTGTGAGAGAATGTAATGCTACGTAAAACGATGAAGTATTATATATCGACTCGTTCCATGGTCAATATGAGAGAAGCGGGACTCAATATTTAAGAGCATATATCTCGTCCCCTCTACCCCACTCCACCTCCCCGTTAAAAGCGCAATTTAAAAGACTCATGCGGTTCGAATGCAATTCCCAAGAAATTCATGTTTCCATGGATGGAGCTGTATATTTGTAGGTAGGTCTATCTCTCAAGGAAAGCGGGGCTGTTGACAAGGTTCGCGGCAACGGAAATAGAAATATTTTTTTATTAAGTATATATTTGTATATATAACTATTGATTCACACACTGAATCTCTCTCTCATAAACAGAAAATGGTCAAAACAAAAAATATATTTATTTTTTAAAAAGATTTTATGGAATTGCGTTAGAAGAGATATAGATGATAAAAAGAAAGAGAAAAAAAACAATTTCTCTCCTCGTATTGCGATAAAATGTTGTTGAGAAACTTAGTTTCGACGATTGTTAAATTTTTCCCGAAGCTACGTTTCCCTGCCGGTGAAATTGTGCAATATATTTTCGTGAATATTTCCCCGTATAATTTTCACGGGATATTGAATTTTGATTTTGTAGCAGCGATCGCTTCTCTTTCCTCCTTCCCCCCCCCCCCCCTTTTTTTTAACTATCTCGTTGCTCTTATATCTGCGTTCTCGCATATTTTCTTCGTGCTCCGAACACGCTAAATCTCGGCTGTCTCCGTCAAATACTTCCGTCAAATAATTCTCAATCATTCTTTCGTTCCTTCCCCAGCCTTCCCTTCCTCCTTTCTCACATTATTGTAAAAAAATTCCACGAATAATTGTAATTAAACGTGATTATCGTTGTTGAAAGAAATATTTCATGTACATATGTATATAACTTATTATACATAATTGCTGTATGTATGTAAAATCTAACGTTCTCTTGCCATTTTCCGCCCCCTCCCCTCTCTGCTCCCGCCCCATTCTTTTCTTTTCTTCATTTCGCATTATTATCCCGTACGTGTATACATATATTTAGCAATTGTTAATGTTATGTATATGTTGCTCTATTTATTAACAAGATGACTATATCAAATGAATATATTGTTAAAGTTAAATAATTATTTTTATTATATTGTAACGACTATTCTGGCGTGCAATGCGTTGCAACAGTGACAGAAATGACATGGTATACCCAAGCTTATACGAATTATAAACGTAAAGTCGCATATGCATATGTACACGCACACATACACACACACACACACACACACACACACACACACACACACGCCATATGCGAACGCGATGATACGCACTACATAAATTGTAAACGCAATGTAATGCAAGCGCGTCCCCAAGAAAATACTTTTTTTACAGATAGTATTATCCTATCGCTAGATAAATTATATGTAATTATTATACATATTGCGCTCTGAGTGCAATGCACATAACAAAAGCTCCCAGCTACCTGTATATTCGTGTTGTCATCATCGCTCCTGCATATGCTTCTCTTTGCAAAGCGGGTAACGCGAACAATCTCTTGCAACAATTATTAACAGAAATACAATTAACATTGACTCGAGGCCAAGTTGTTTTGATTATTTTCGTAACCCTTTCACAAGTTGTATACAAACTGTTAGAGAAGGAATTAAATGACTGGTGGATATGCATTCCTTGAGCAATTTGCAGTCGATTTTTTTCTCTCAGCCGAAATTTTATTATATAAATTATCTAAACTTTAAATAAAAATTTTGTTATTCCAAAGTTCGCTCGAAGTTATGACCAAAATTATATTTATGTCCGAATCCTCTAAAAAATTTATTGTTTCTTAATGCACATAATTATCGACATATCAATATTTTTACTTAAAAAGATAGTCGACTTTATGTTGATCAAGGAACATGCCGTCGAGTTTTTAAACACTTAAACCTTTCCTCGACACTCTGTGTAACAAACACGAAATGTATACAACAAGCTCACGGGGCATTAGTCCACGCACGATCTTAAGCATTCCGATAGTATTAAGGCAAACTAACGTGAAAATCCTCAAATTCGCAACATCAAGTTGATTGATTTGGAGTGAAGTTTGGATCCAATTATAAGATGTCAAATAAAAATATCATTTGTAAAACTTTGTGTCTTTAACTTGAACCATTTATAAAAAAGCTGAACATTCTAGTTAAAAGATAAAATATGGTTTCCCTTAATAAAAATATCGATAAATAAATTTTTCAAGTATTCAATTATAGAAGAAATTTTTATTACACTGTTAAATAATACGTAAATAATAAAAAGCTGAATACTCAATTTCAAAAGGTAAAACAATTTTCTCTAAAAAAAAATTAAAAGCTGAATATTCTATTCAAAAGATAAAATATAATTTCCCTTGATAAAAAATATCTATAAATAAATTTTGGAAATATTCAGTTATCGAAAAAATTTTGATAGATTACGACGTTAAATATAAATACGTAAATAATAAGATTTTGTTGTCCGAATCCTCTAGTTAATTTCAAGCAAATTTTATATAATTTCAATCGGAAGAAGAAGCAGTTGCTCATAACATTTGATATTAAAATTTGAAAGTGAGAAAATATTTAATAAAATGTTCATGAATAGGAATTATATGTTGAGCACACGCGTCAGCACGTGCGAACATACGTATATATCTACATATATGTTTCGCTAAAGAAAATGTCAGAGTCTGTTTCCGATAAAAATTTAATGGAATTTGATTACAACCAACAAATTTAGCCCCGGTGGTGATAGAATCGCGAATGTTAAACCGTTAAACGAGAACCACTGCGCGCGTTCGAAAAGTTCAAATGGTCCAGCCATGAGGATGATGACACCGAAAGGCGTTCTCATTGGCGGATCCAAAAAGGACAGTGTTTAAAAAAGGCCGTTTTCGCCCACTAATAGAAACGTAAGAAACACAGTAAGTCTGATAGATTTTGACTTGTTGAACACGATAGTGTTATTGGTTTCCTTGAAAATGTGAGGAACATCATTTTTCAGATTAAAGTCCTACTTTTCAGTTAAAATAAAGACTTTAACTTGAAAAATAAGAATGTTCTCCGAATTTTCAATGAAAACTAATAGCACCATTGTGTGCAGCAGGTTGAAATCTATAAGATTCACTATATTTTTTAAATTTCCATTAATAGGCAAAAAATGGCCTTTTTAACATTGTTATTTACCAGAAAAATTATTTGTACACCGTAAGCAACATTCTGTTTTAAAGTCAAATAAAAAAAAAACAGAATATAAAGTTGTTATTTAAATTATTACATTGAAAAAGTATTATTCAAATGTATAATTCATAAAATGATTTATTTAAAATTATATTAATGCAGAAAAAATATATAATAAAACGTATATGCTTTTATATCGAGGAGTGTCTTAAATTAAAAAATATTTTTTAAATATCAAAATTATAATTAAGCAATTCAAAAATATTCAAAATTACGTAACATTTTGCCATAAATATTTTGAAAAAAGGAGACTTGAAAAACTATGGCTCCCATGTCTCCCCTCGTAGATCCGCCAGTGAAGGCGTTACCTCAATCTCTATCGTTGTTACAAAGGCATCTTTTCAGCGGAAATACATGCGACATCCGCTATCGTAACGCAGACAATTGTTTCGCGGTTTGAATCCAACGCGATCGATCTCTCGCGCTCCGGACATCTTGCACGGTTTTGGTCTCGACTCAGTAGCACGCCCGTAAAAAGAGAGAAAGAGAGAGAAAACGGGCGATATAGTCGCTACGTATATATAGGTATACAGGCACCTACATAAGAAAGACAGTGCGCGAGCGACAGTGGGCACGAGTGAAGCTGAGAGCACGTCTATAAATAGGACCGAGAGCGAGATGAAGCCTCCTCTGCACTTCGCGGTATACCTTCCGCTGCTCTCCGTCTCACCGCGAGAAATCCCTCGAGTGTGCTCTCCTCTTTTTTTTTCCCCTCCCCTTTTCTCTCTTTCTGTGTTTTGCCTGCCTTTCTCCGCATCTCCCTTAACATCTCGCACGCATCCTATTCTTTCTTTATCTTAATAGATGTCTGTCTCGGCTCGGGGACAGTTTCACTATTTTTTTTCTTCTTTTATCACCTTTTCTTCTCAGTCACCTTTTCTTCAGAATCTTTTGTTTTTGTGGAACAAACGTAAAAGTTAACGAAAAGATATTTTTCGTCACGAACAAATCGAGACGGATAAATCGGGACTTCAATCATATATGATCGACATTTCAGATAAATATAAATCGTCAGGTATTTTAATAATAACCAAATCTTTCCTTCGATTTTGACGTTTAAACACCTGTTGTCCTGCAGGACGAGCAAAGATTGGAACTTTCCAGGATATTCTTTGGTACCCGGAATTGAAACAATTCCATCGATTGTTCATTAAATAGCAAAGTATGGGGTAGCATTGCACGATTTTACCCCACGATTTCGGGACAGGAATAATACAATTCCCGGTATTTTACGGACCGGTCGGGTTCTATGATATTTTTCAGAATTAGCGTGTGTTGATATTAAAGTGAAAAATTCCGATGGTGGGCGGCGAAAGAGAAGAGAGGGGTAAAACCGGCCGGGGTGTCGTTACTCCGGGTTGCGTCGCAGCTCGCAGCATCCGCGAAGGCCCCGCTAGGGGTTAGGGTCACGTCACGGCGAACGGAACGGAACGGCGGCGCGGCGGGGGAAGCAGGAGAAAAAGAGAGTGATAGAGCGAGAGAGAGAATGAGAAAGGGAGAGACGGCGGGGAGAGTTCATTGAGCAACGGCACGTGTACGCGAGATAGAGAGTGCGGCTGCGATATGAGGTGGGATAAGAGGGTGGGAGGGAGTAAACGGCACTCGGCAGCCGCGACTCGAGCGGCAGCAGTAGGGCGAAAAGGGGTTGCCAAGCGACCATAACCGTGGGTTGCCCTTGGCGACTAGTTGCGTCACTGCAGCGTCGCGTGACGTCACGCGACGCCACTGCCCTTGACCGTCGGGGATGACACTGGGGAGAGCGTCCTGGCGACCCTGCCTGCAACTCTATCGCCCTTCTCCACCCTCCCGTCATTCACCCTGACACTGAGATACGCAGGGATTCGAGTCTATACATAGAAGCGGACTAAACGCACGCATACAGACGTACACACGGGCGCGTCAGAATACGCTATGCACGCTGATAGGTACGCGCGACGCGCGACGCGCGACGGCTCACCTTTCGATTGGGACTCTCGAGCCTCGCCGCTCGCGCTGGAACGCGAACCGGCAGCCCCCGATACGCATCGCGTATCGCGATGTGTTTTGACACGCGACTCGAAATAGCGTCAGCTCACCTCTTGCCGTCGCTATTTTCAGAATTACGATGCCGCACGGTTATTGTTACGTCGGCGGGATAGAGAAAGAGGGTGCCGGCGCGGCGGGTGCGACGGGCGTTCGCGAAAGCCCTTGCCGGTAATCGATTGACGCGAGTTTACACATCGCGTGCAATATTTATAGAATGATGCGCGGGGCTTGTTTAACGTAATGCGGGCGCTCACTTAATGCAATTCCCACACTTGTCAATGACGGTAGCCGCTTCATCGGTGACGACTCTCTAATTCTTTCTCATTATTTTCTTTCACTCAATCTTCGTTACCATTCGTCCACGTCCGCGACTCGTTTTCAACCGGAGATTATAAAAACGCGCCGATTATCGAGGGTTTCAAAATCTTTCCAGACTTTTGATATATAGATAACTTATTGACGGAAATTTTGGCTGATTGTAGGAACGATGATGTTACTTTAAGCAATGAATTTTTTTTTTTTTAATTTAAATTAATTTTATAATACTAGGCTCAATTGGATAAACAACTAAATTAAGGTAGCTCTCCAGTTTTTTCACATAATATAAAGATTTAATTAAATATTAAGAATTAGTTTGTAATTAACATAAAATTCTGAATTTTTTCAGATTTTTTGACCGTATAGTTTTCTTTAAATAATTTTCTAAAATAGTTTGATTTCTTATGAGGATGTTTAAATAATTTAATTGTAAATAAAATATAAAAATTTTGAAGAGTTATATGGATATTAAAGAATAAAATTTAAAGAATATTTTGGAACTAAAAAAATGAAATTTTACTGTATTATTATATTTTCATGTAAGAGTACGAAATGTTCATCAGTTTTTCTTTATTTAAATATGACGTTACACTAGTGAAAACATTAATTAATTCTAGAACTGTCAATATCTAAATTAAATTTAAATAACTACTATAAATAATTTTTCTTCAATATTTTTCATAAAAATATTCATTTTTATTATAAAGACAATATTTTTTAATAACAAATTATAGTTTTACTGCTTAAATTTTGTTCATTATTTATTTTTCAGATGGCAATGGCATAATTTCGCATCCTTTGTGTTCTCGTGTTAAAATAAGAAAAGTTACATGATGTCTCTCCAATTTTTTTTCAAAAAGGGGCTATGAACCGAAGTTAGGTGTTCATGCTATTATTAAGCAAATCTTGTCATATAACAAATGTTTCGATCTTTATTTTTTTTTATTACAACAAATGCAAGGTATGTACATGGAAAACTAAGTTTTTCAATCAGGACGCGTTGGAACTATCCTGCTCTTCTAATCGTTGTTTTCCCCCATTATCCCCAGCGCGCTCGCGAGAAATTATCCCTTCCCTCTCCTCGTAATTATATTATAAAAAGTCAAGATAATAATGGCTATAATCAATCGCTTTACATGGTTACAAAGGATATTGGTTAATTACATGTATAAATTAATCTAATCTCGAAGAATATATTTATATATCGAAAATCCGTTGATAAAATTATTTACTAAAAAAATGATTATATCGTTTAATTTCCATTCTTATACAGTCTGCTGATCGAATAAACATTTCTGTATGGAGAAATATTTATATTTCGTCGTACAGATAATATCTAATACACATTCCACAGGTGCACCTTCTATAAATATTAAGGTATTTAAAAACGCGTTATTTACACGCGGCATCCTGCGAGAGCATAGAAATAACCGTAGAATATATTATAAAATGCGTACGTCAGTATCGAATTGATGAATCAACATTCGTCAATTTCATACAAAGTATTTTAACAAGAGTATCGCGAAAAAGGCAAAAGCCATTTTATGTATCTAAATATCAATTTCAATTATAAAATTTTTAATAATATAACAATTAGTAGAAATAATCCTATTTTTGATCAAAGCGAATCTTAGTGCTTAATAATACTAAATGCAAATTTTGCAAATACATTATTTCAATTTTATAAACTGCGCGCCAATAAGGTTCGTCGGACTTGAGGCGCAATCGCAAATTAAAGTTGAAATTGCCAATCTCAAATTAGATTAGTCGTCTTTTTAATAATTTTTAATAATTTTAATAATGAAACTAATAATTATCTTTTTTAAAAACCTAAATATATTCTTCAGCCTCTGGATATAAATCTCAATTAATTAAATAACTTTTCAAATGTAAAATGCATGCATTTAAAAAACAATTCCGCAATTTTCAACATATTTCCCATGCAGGATTATTTCCGCCATGTAAATTATGCGATACCTATCAGCGATGGATTATCTACCTACGCATAATTCATACTTATCTCGGCTATTTGATAAATATGTTGTAATACGAAAATATTCATCAGATATCGCAATTATTCGGTGGATACATATATTTTACATACGCGTAAAATGTTCAGTAAAAAGAAAGCAAAGATTCTTTATCAAATTTCGTACATTTATATTCGGGAATTATTGAACATGTTAATTTTGATCGGATAGAAAGTACGCAAAATATCAAAATACATGTATTGTATTTCAAGCAAAAGTGTTATAATATTTCAAGCGCTTTGAAAGTACGCCTTTGATATTTTGCTCGGTTCTCAAAATACCTCTCAAAAAAAAAAAAAATATTATTTTGGGACACGTTTAATTTTATGATTTAATTTGTTTCAAATGCCAAAGCTTTAACCGTTAGTTCCAATAAGCTTTAAGCTCTGATATTACATTTGTTGTATAATAAATTTTTCAAGCGTATTAATTGACTATAGGATAGAGAAGTACTCGGATCTCTCTATCCTACAGCCAATAAACTTAAAAAAATTTGGCGTACGACGAAAATGGACAAATGTAATATTGGCCTCATACATGTCCGTTCTAAACCATGAAACAGAAATAACTAGATGCGTTCAATCCCGAGACCCGAAAGTTAGCAAGCCACGTAGAGATGGCGGTTCAGTATAACATTGCATTTCCATTTCCGAATTAGATTTACCATAATTGTTAATTAAAATACTAAATCTGTATTTGCATTGCTCAATTTAATTCTGTATAACATAATTTTCTAAATTTTATATCTAGAAATATCTAATAAAAAAAAGAACAAATCCAGAAATTAATGATGCTGAGTGTATCTATACGCGCGTATTTTAAACAACCTAAATTCGTCAACTTTTAAACGCCGTTTCCTTTGAAATTAAAAAGTAAATATTTTCTTTTGTATTTATCTTCTTACTTGCTTATATATAACACAGCTTCGACATAAAATAAATAACATGTGCCGAAAGAATAGAGGGGGAATTAAAAAATGTATGTCTCTCTCTCTCATAGTTTTAGTGTATATATCGAGATGAAATTGTGACGCAATTGGTGGCTTATACATAATATCATTTTAGATCTATATATCTGTTATTAAAATAACATGTTTTTGTATTATATATATATGTATATATATATAAAGATATGAATAATAAACTGTATAACACTTGATTTATTTTGATACATTGAACATCATATGATCAACGTGGGGTGCGTTCCATTTAACGTTCACAATGCTTGCAAGGATCATTTCATTCTTTTTGTTTATCAAATGTTGAATAAGAATGAAATGATACATGCGGGCGTTGGGAACGTTAAATGGATTGCATCTGTGGTAGAGGTTTGTTTCTTTTTCTCTCAAGGTGGTAGATATATAGTGAATGAATAAAAAACGAACAGTGTATACAAATATATTTTCTATTTAGATATTTATAATAAATGCAAATAGAATGATTATTAGAATTTGATTCACTTGCGATTCGACTTATAAAACAGTACAATGTCTTAAATATAATCCAAAGAATCTTAAATAAAATTTTCACTTTCGTTATTCGTTCGTTGTTTATTCACTCACGTATAGTCGATTTAAGTAATTGCGTGTACATGGGTGGATTATAATACTGCACAGTCATCCGTGTACACAAAATTATATGAATTTTATATGCCAATTGAATATTTGCTGCCTCGTTGTAATATTGGTTTAAATCAGACGATCTCGTTATGTTACATACTCTCAAGAGATTTTTTTACAGCTCATCGTGCTAAATTACAGTTAGGACGAGAAATAGGAAGGGTTTGTTTCTCAAGCCACTTAAGTGCTTGAATGTTCTCTGGTCCTTGTAGAAAAGATTTTAAAACTTCCAAACATTTTACATGATAATTATTCAAATATTCGATCTGGAATAAGATAGGTCATGAAACATAATTGAAATATTTTTAAATAAAATGAGAAATATTTGAGAATGCGCATACCTCTTTGTCAGTAAGCATTGATACATCGAGCAGACTCGTTTGAATAGGTACAAGTGTCATGGTTTCAAATGTCAGAAAACCTCGGTTTTTATGATTGTAAGGTGTCTTTGCAGGAACAACTAACTCAACATTCTCTAATCTGACACCAAACTTACCGTCTTCGTAATATCCTGGCTCTGTTTTGAAAATATATGTTTTTTTTTATTGTTTCGATTACGTAAACGATTACGTTTTATTTATATGTTTTTATCATACCGTTTGATAAGAACATTCCTGGTTGTAAACCTGGGTCATCCGGATGCGGCTTCCATGAGATACCAATCGGCTCTTCATGGACATTGAGATAAGATCCTACTCCGTGGCCAGTACCGTGAAGATAATCGAGACTAAAGTTAATTCATAGTTAGATATACAAAGAGGTGAATTTTTTCGCATAAAAAATATGTTTTCTCATCACATTTTAATAAAAATCTTCGTACCCAACGCCCCATAAACTTTCACGCGCCAGTGTATCGAGGTAATTTCCTTTTGTTTTCAAGGGGAATACCATTGTCGATAACCGGCATTGTCCTTTAAAAACTCTGGTGAAACATTCACGTTCGAAACTTGTGGGTTCACCAAAATGTAATGTTCTCGTTACATCTGTCGTACCATCATGATACTGTGCACCAGAATCACAGAGATAAAGTTCTTTATCTGTAATAGGCACATCAGTTTCTGCCGTAGGTGCATAATGAATAACTGCTCCATGAGGACCGACAGACGATATAGTGGTAAAGCTTAATCCGACAAAATGAGCTTGTTCCCTTAGAAAAAAAATTAATTTCTTGTATCTACATTATCTATATTTTACATTGTAAAAAATGAGTTGCTTTATAAAATATACATAATCGACTTACTGTCTAAACTGTTCCAGCCGCGTCGCACCTGAAATTTCCGTAATCAATTCGTTCGTATTCTTGATCTTATCTTCTAGCCAAGCAAAATATTTTACAAGAGCGACAGAATCTCTCACATGCGCCGCTCTCATCCCAACTATTTCGGTAGCATTCTTTATCGATTTCATAACGCTAATAGGTGTAATATCCGTATGTTTTTGAATAGTCGCAACATCCGGGTGTAGCGCAAAGCTGGATTTATTACTGATCCACATTTTATCTTTCTCGAATGAACATGACTGTACGAATGACTTCATATAAACATATATATTTTCGTAGTCGTGAAAGATTGGATCGACACCCTCGTTCTTCAGTTGCTCCAATGCTTCCTGGCTAAGCCTACTTCTATCTATAAAGATATGTACATCTTCCAGAGTGAGAATGACGTATGCAAGAAAGACAGGATTGAAAGGTATATCAGATCCCCTCCAATTTAGTAGATACGCAATTGCATCCAATGCAGTCACTACAAGTATCGTCGTGCCATTATCTCGCATAGCATCGCGACACGCTTTTACTTTGTCTCCTGCACTTCGACCCGAATATCGTAACAATTGCGGCAAAACTATGTTGGCTGTTGGTGCTGGCTGATCGTCACCCCATACTTTGTCCACCAAGTTCTCAGAAAGTGGGATCAAATCGTGACCGGCATCAATTAAACTGTTCTGCAATCGTGTCCATTCCGTGAAACTTATTAGATTAGCGTCCGCTCCGACTACGGATTTTGGTGGTAAATTCGCGGCGAGCCACGCAGTGATGGTAGGTGTATCCAGTAAACCTTCCCTCATCAAAGTCCATGCCTCTGGCGGATCTAACTCCGACATAGCTTGTTGGTAATATCTTCCATCAGTCCACAGCAATGCTGCGTCGTGCAATATGACCACTGTGCCGTAGGAACCACGAAATCCGCTGATAAAACATCGCCTCTGATCTCTCTCCGTCGAATATTCTGATTGATGTGCATCCTCTCCAGTGACGATCAGAGCCTGGATACCTTTTTTTCGAATGAGAGACCATCCACTAGGTTGAACATTCTTCATCAGCGCTCGAAGCTGCGTCAGCTTCCAAAGCCCGTCCTTTTTTACCATCTTGTGCTACAAAGAATATTTTGTTACTTCTGAGTCCAATTTCATTCATACAACACAGTTCTTTAAGGGATGTCCTAAGGCCATCCTGAAGATGTTCTACGTCCTAAGAACATCTCATCAAGAACTGTGTTATATCTTTAGTGATATCTCAGATAATGCATACGTACATGTCTAAAAGATGTCGTACAGACATCTTTTGGAACATACATATGAAATGTTTCTATCAATGTAGATGAACTTTAATCTTGGTTTAACTTACTTTTATTTTTTTCTAATTCTAAGAATTAGAAAAGGATAAAGAATAAGTTAAACCGAGATTAAAATTAATTTACATTGATACAAATGTCCGTTTCTACCAAAGTAATTTAATTTTAATCTTGAATCAACTAACTCTTCAGCTTTTTCTAATTCTAAAAATTAAAAAAAGATTAGCAAATTGAACCGATATAAAGTTAATCTACATTGGTAGAATAACAAGTATAAAGTCCAATTCCATCAATGTAAGATTAACTTCAACTTCAGTTTAACTTATTGTTTATCTTAGAATTAGAAGAAGATAAAGAATAAACTGAACCAATATAAAATTAAAGTTAATCTTATATTGGTGCAACCAAGCCTAAAAAATATCTAAAAGACATTATAAAGATGTCTTCTGGACACTGTTGTCTGACCAACAAAATAACCAGAACAATTATAAAAAGCTTGTTCCTTACCTTGTAAAATATTGTTCAAACACTAGCGTCACTCTATCGACGCATCTGTCACAATGGAAAGTAGTAAGGATCTCTGTTATTTTCCAGAGAGAACCAAAAGGGAAATTACGGGTGCCACGTTATCTATTAATATCGTAAACACTCGATTTGTGTCGTCCTTTTAAAAGATCAGACTATCTTATCTCTATGATAAGAAAAAGTAATCGCGCATCGTACGCTTATAATAAGTCCTTATCTTCTCGGATACAGACGCGTGGAAGATGCTCTTTCAGATAGAGATGCTCCGCTACACGGTCGACAACATGTATCTAGCTCCCGGAGCATCATACATATGTAGTGGCATGTGGTATTTCGACCGAGATTTCGACTTCGATACCTCGCCGCGTCGTCCGCCCCCAATCGCGCGATATATCGAAGTAGGAGAAGAGGAACATCGACATGATGTAACCAATCAACATGTACTACGTCATCTTTCAAAATTTCATGTCATCGATGTCACGGCTGTCCAATCGTTTCATTCAGTTTCGTTTGTTTTCTTATATTGATTGTTGTGATTCTGACCAACCGACAGCTGGGAAATTTTATTCTCTTAGCGGTTTAGAAACTCGTTGTGGTCAGGTGTCTCCTTGAGGAAGATACAGAAGTGATAGTCGTGATTGTGGACCTGAGATACAAATGAAATTAGAGCGCGTTGAAGAAGGTATTTTTGTAGGTTAAAAAATCTGTTTTATCTACTGAACAAACAGCAACAGTACGTACGAATTGCGCGCGATATTGCAATGTAATCAATACGTTCTGCGTCTATTTGATAATTGGATAATTATTTATATGAACAAATTTGTCACGAAGCTTTTCAAAATAATGTAACAAACTGCAAGGCTAGAGATTATTTTTTCGTACAACGATATAAATTATTCTAAAATTTGCTGTATTAATTTTGTTCTATCATACAGATTTCTAATCTTAAAATGTAATCTTAGTGGTATTCGTAGTTCGATTTTATATTTAAGATCGCTTAAATATAAAATCGAACTACAAATACCACTAAGATTACATTTTAAGATTAGAAATCTGTATGATATATAGAATAAAATTAATACAGAAAATTTTAGAATATATAATTTATATCGCTGTACGAAAAAATAATCTCTAGCCTTGCAGTTTGTTACATTATTTTGAATATTCTTTATTCAACGATCTTTAGGTTTTTATGAATTATTTTGTTGACTAAAAACAAAAATTTTTAAACCACTTGAGATCAGATTCAATTAGATGATCTTAAATATAGGATTGGAATATGAATACTCATAGTATAATCTCTTTCAAAAATCACTTTTAATTTTATTATTCTTTTTACAGCATCAAGCGGCTATTTTGATTGTTCAAACTCTCTTTTTTTTTATAAATTCAAAACATCGAGCAAGTGCAGATTCAGCGAAACTTGAGAAGTGACATCACATGGTTATCCGTATTGATAAAAAAAATATGGATATCTAAAATTTACTCACAGGAGAATCCTGTAGAGATGTGAAAGTTTGTTTTTGGCGTTTTGAAATTGATCTCCTCATCGAATAATATATTGCATCATATCCTGTATCATGATACGCCAAAGACGGCAGCAGGGTCTGCAGAATGGCATATTCTTGCTATGTATGCAGGCTCTGAACTTTGGACTTGATAAAATACCACCTGCTACTCTAATTGGAATCATCGCACAGGTAATTTTTACCAAAAATTTGATATAATTTTGTTTTAACAATCTAGCTTCTCTATTTTGAGTCAATCTCTTTAGAATTAACACAGTTCACTTTAATAAACTTGAATTAATCTTTCTAATCGATTGCTATACAGTCTTTAGCTTTACAAGCTTTTACCAGCATCATCCATAGAGTATAAATATATATTTCTCTTTCTAGTCTTTACTGTATATGGGCCTGATACAGGTGCCATGGAATGCGGAAGATGTATGCATATCAGCTATCAAAATAATTAAGTACAAAAACTGGCGGTCGTTCTTCCTTTCAAATTTCGAACATGGATCCGACATGCATCTGTACTACAACATGCTTTCTTTTATTCTGAAAGGTTCTTACTTGGAGCCCATCTACGGAACGATGAATTTTGTACTTTTACTGGGTGTATTGTCTATCGGATGTAGCGCTATGTATGTATTCCTAGGATACGTTCTGATGCAGTTAACAGGGGATTACGGATATTTTACGGCTTGCGCAATCGGTTTTTCTGCCACATTATTTGCGTTGAAAGTCATTGCGCTGTGCGAAGAACGCGACAAATTACATAATATCAATGGATTAATAGTACCAAGTAAATTAGCGGTTTGGCTCGAATTAATATTGATACATCTGTTGGTCCCAAATTCTTCCTTCATCGGTCATCTGGGTGGTATTTTAGTTGGATGCTTATATTCTTATTCTTTTGTTGGAGAAAGGATCGACAACTTGATACATATGATAACTAGTACACCTATTATACACGAAGAACAATTTTATAGAAGACGAAACAGGCTATTTACGTAACATTCTGTAATTTTCATCAATTCAACATATTTGTGACTCTAATCTAACTTAAATATATATATATATAAATATATATTGCTGATTATAAGTATTTTTGTAAATGAATAATATGATCATTTTTGTAATTATGGTTTATTTAAAATAAAATCTAAATGCCTATATTTGTATATTTTTTCTCATTACCGGCCACTAAATTCAAACCCTAAAGTATTAACATTTCATCCTAATGTATATGAGTTATTTCTTAATTTATCCTTTTTAAGTGTTATTTTATTTATAAGATTTTTAAAATATATTTATTCGATTTTTACTTTATGTAGGTATTGTCATGCCAATTTATAAATTTTATTAAATGTTAAATGCAACAACAAAAATTACAGATTATTTCATGTAGCCACATACTGATGTAGAATAATGTTTTTAGTTTGCAATGTAAGTAAAAACATCATGATGACTTTAATGAAAAGAAAAACTAATAAGATATTCAACTATTTTTAATATTTTATTATACATATATTATACAAGGATTTTACCTTCAACTTGTTTGTAAAATTTTGTGCAATTTATACAATGTAATATTCGGTATACTAGAGCTCTGCGCCGTTGTGATTGAATTCACTAAAAATAAATATGGAAAATGAATGATATCCTTATCAAGTACGAAAAACATTTACGTGTTTGTGGAAACTTACAGATTGATTTATCATCGATTGGATATGGTATACCATAGAATATAAAATATGCACACATTTTAGCTAGAGATGTAGTATCGGAGAATTGTACTTTTCCAGTTGTAAGATATTCTTTAAACACAGATTTCATATCTGAAAAGAAAAAATTTAAGTATAACAAAATTAACAATAAATTATTGGCATTTTTGTAATGCCATGCTTTAATAAATACCGTGCTCCCATTTATCCAGAATAATCGACGTTTTCTGTTTAATTGCGAGCATACTTTCTATGCTGAGTAATGGATTTTCTTCATCCGTGAAGTTGCTCTTTCTCGACATTTGTGACAAAAAAAGCTTTATTTGCCATATCGCAAAGCTGTTTGGTTGTTCTTCGATGATTTTTATACTTTTAATTATATGCAACCATAACGGTATAAGACTTACTTTATCTTTTGTAATGCATTCGTACACAATTATTGCAAACATGTGAAGAAAATACTGTTCAAATTCTGGCATTTTGCATTGTACATCTGTAAATTGAAAGTTGTATTATTCGATGAAAAAGTTATTTTGCAAAATATACAAGCGAGAGAAATAAGAGAGCTAACATAGAATAAGGAGATGTATCAATATAGATGATAACTATTTGAAAAAATGTCATATAGGAGATTTTCTTAATTTGTAAATTAAATAGTCGTAAATATAATCTCATGGCTTTTCATATAAAATGTCCTTGTACAATTTATAAAAAAAATTATATAAAATATATTATAGATCTCTATTAATCTTGAGTTAAGTGTATATTAAAAGCGTATATTAATCAAATCGTACCATTTTGCGATGAATACTTAATACTTTCTGGAATCATTCCTTTTTTTGACCATTGCAAAAAAGAGGTCACTATGTTCAACACAGTTTTATCATTTGTAAACGATGTAACATATTCTGGCCGCGCAGCCCATGCAATTGCATTTTCCGTCGTCAAAGTTTGGGCCACTAAGCTTCTAAAACCCTATAATCAATTGAAATAAAATACTCATCAATGATATTTGTAAATGTCTATAATGAAATATATTTAATACGTATATAATTTTAAGGTATTTCTTTAAGTAATAATGTTTTACATGGGGATCTTCCAGGTACGATAAACAACCAGCTCTCTGCTTGATGCTTAAGTAATCATGTCTTTCTAGCATGTTTTCTAATTGCTGCCAGTTATGATGTTTCAAAAATGTAATTTGCCAGTATCTTGAATCTTTTAATTCAATCTTCTTCAAGCTACATAACTGTGGTAATAAGCAGGGCGCTTGTAAACTGATCTCTTGTCCTTCAGCTTCTTTGTCAGTTTCGAATGTTAAATGTATTGTCGCGTAACAATACTGACCAGTATCTATGTCTCTCGGTAAAATAATACGTGGTTCAGCTGCTAATACGTATAAATGACGTAAAGCTTGTAAATGATACCTATTGAAATAATAACACTGCTTAGACACAAAAGATTTTATTATCATCTAAAAAGTGTGAAAAGAAAGCTTTTTAAAAGCTTTTTTATTGTGATAAAAATAGTTTTCATTCACAATTTTTTCTTTTTTAAAAGAATTAAAGGATCATTATAAGAACAGCATTCACAAACCTATTGTCATTGCTATGGGTTGGAAACTTTGGGAAAAGCGAAATTATCAGAGCCGCCACTGAATTCGGGCTATTAGAAAGTGTATATCTTCCACCACCTAAAAAAAGGAGACCGAGAGCCATGTGGGTCGCCAAATGAGATCCATATGTGACTACACCGCTGGTGAGTCCTACGCGAGTGCGTATGTGTCTGCATATCCTCATAATCTGCGAATTTAGATACAGATTGTCAATAAGTGCTCCTTGAGTCATTGTCGGCAAATATCAAGACTTACATCTAAATTGCCAGTACCCGCCATCACCACTGCGGTTGAAAGCAGAACAACGTTTAGACACGTTTCAACGGTGGATTTGCCAGCCAATTCCGCTATAGTTTTATGTGACAATGCCGTGAACATTTGAGCATAATTGTACAAAGTCTTGAAAGCGTTCTTATTAGCAGTGCCTGCATACTTTAGCCCCAGTGCCATGCAAGCACCAGCTATAATGT